GAATCCCACCTCTATCATTTTTATAAAAATTTTTAATTTGTTTTTTATTTTGGAAATCACATTAATTTTAATAGAAAAATTTTATTATTTTATTCTTATGTGTTTAAATATATAAAGACACACTTACAGTAATTCAAATTGTTTTTATAATAAACTAAAATAACTAGTTGAATAAAGTTATTTTAATTCTTAATTAAAAAATTTTTTTATTTAAAAAACAATATAAAGTTTTTATATTACTAATCTTATTATCATTTATAAGAATAAATTTGGATCATCAACATTTAAATTACTTCAATAACCATTATTATTGTTTCTTGTACCACTTTAATACTCTACATCAATGTCTTATCAACAATTAAACTATAACTTAATTTATTAATCATTATAATCAATTTAACAAAATATTTTTCAAATAATTTAAAACATTATTATTTTTATACTTTAAAAAATTTATTAAAAAAATATTATAAATATTAATTAGTCATTCTATTCCTCCATAACAATATTTGAGTTTCTTTCAATTCATTATAAAATTCTTCTTTAATCAACTTCTCTTCAATGTTTTCTTCACATAAAATATCTAATATTTTAATAGATTGAGGATATAAAAGAAACAGTTTATATTTCTTATCTTTAAAGTATTTTAAATAGTTTAAATATTCAACAAAAGCTTTATTTGCAAAGTAATTCTTGTTAAAAAGCCATCTAATATAATCTGGATTACAAAGTAATTGAATAAATTCTAAATCCTTTTCAAACTGTGAAGATTGATCACTCATTGGGTTAAAATTTATTTATTATTTTTTAAATAAAAAAGGGTTTGATTAGATTTGTTAGCAATTGATTTATATTCTTTTATAGTTGCTTGTTTATCAAAGAAATTCTTATTAAATAAATAATCTTTAATAATCTTAAACTTTTCTTCTATAATTTTACAAGAGTAAGGTGTGTAATTAACAAGGTCTCTTAAACTTTCATTATCATTAAATTTAAATGATTCTTTTCGTTTTATTTTATCTACAATTTGATCTAAACCTTTTATCCAATCACCATTAACCTTTAAGTCTTTAAGGATTTTCTCAATCTGTGTTTTCTGATAACACATACTAAAGTAACTAATAATACCCACACTAAATATTTTATCAGTATACATGTAAATACCTTCTGAGTCTTTAGATAATTTATAATTATTACCTCTATCATCTACAAAACACAAATTTAACTTACTTAATATTGATAATATTATAACATTATCAGTAACTATATGCCAATGATGATTGTTAGTAACACACTTTTCTTCTTTATAAAATTTTAATTTATCAGGTAAATAAACTAAATCAACCCTTCTAGCATTTATAATTATTGTTGGTGAGAATTTTTTACCATCAACTGATCCTTTAGTTTTAAGTCCTGTTAATTCAATCTTTTGATAGGACAGTAATTTCATTACAATTTCATTAAAATCTTCTTGTAATTGTTGAAGACTTCTATTTTCATATTTATATTCAAATAAATATAAGTTATATAGAGAATCATTTCTAGTTAATTTAATCTTACTTACATTATCTGATTTATCTGTTATGATAATTCTATCTTGATCTAGTTTAATCTTTTTAAAATAGTCAAGTGATATAATTTCATTAAAATTATCAATTAATGTTTCTATTATAACATCTACCATTTAAACTTAAAATATTTGAAAATAAATTTTATTTATGCCTAAGAACAAATATAAAATGAGTATGAGGAGGAAGAAGAATAATAATAATGAAAAAATGAAAATTTCAGAAATAAAAGTAAAT